AACAACAACGACGATAATAACAACAACAACGACAACGATAATAACAACGACGACGACAACGACAATAACAACAACGACAACGATAATAACAACAACGACAACGATAATAACAACAACGACAACGATGATAACAACAACGACGACAACGATAATAACAACGACAACGATAATAACAACGACAACAACAACAACGATAACAACAACAACGACAACGATAATGACAACGACAACGACAATGATAATGACAATGATAATGAATGCCGAATCAAATGTCAAATAGAAACCCATTTAAAGGTTAAAGGTTAAGGGAAAGGAATTATGTAAAATAATACAATTTCGTTATTTGAAAAGATTCTACACTTAGAGCCTTATCTTGGATGCGAGGCAAACAGGAAAATACAAAATAAACCCCTTTTTTTCGATGAATTTCGGTTCTCCTGGTTTTAAGTTCTCGTTAGAGTGTTTTTCCATAGACCGTGAAATAATTAGCATACTAATATAAACTGGTAAATCTTATTTCCATCGTTTGCTTTTGTGTCTATTTGACTGTATCACGGTCTGAGAAAATTATTCTATAATTTTAGGTTACGATTCTAGCTGCAATATACTCATTATACACTAGACAATCTAGATGGAAGTAGCCGTACAAAACTAAAAATAGATGGCAAAATTTGCTCGGGCCTTTAAAATGATAAATATTTTAAATATAAGATACTCTAACTCTACTCTACTCTCGATACTCGTTCTGATGATGACTTCAGTCGAAAAAGTTTACCTTTCTAATTTTTCTTTCAAATCCTTAGCCTTATTTATAATTATATAATATATTAGTCTGCAACTTCGCAATAATAAAAGGAGTTTTATCAAGATTTCAGTAGAAGCCAGACTTACTTGTCAAATCGATATCAGAGGCGAAGCTATACGTTAACTTCCAAAGCTTCGGTCATCTTGTTCTAGATAAACTTATACCGTAAGCAAATGATGCAGGACTTAGCTGGATGTACAAATGTTTACCCAGAACGAAAGTGAAGATAAATTACAATGATAGATCTGTCGGTACATGAATGATACATAATAGGCTATAAATATCCTTGACTTGTTTTTGCACATGATATTCTTCAGTTAGCAGTAATAATTAACTACATCTGGTATTCCATTAAGATGAAATATTATGATGAAGTCCAACAAACAAAGGTCGACAAAACATCATCAATGTTTTTTCCGCGTTCTGTGACTGACTTTGCATATATGTTATTATGAAAAACGAGGAACCGGAGACGTGGACTGCGGATAGAGGATTTTTATAGTTACTCAATTTTACGGCTAGTTTATAGTATGTTATTATGAAAAACGAGGAACCGGAGACGGGGACTGCGGATGGAGGATTTTATAGTTACTCAATTTTTCGGCTAGTTTATAGTATGTTATTATGAAAAACGAGGAACCGGAGACGTGGACTGCGGATAGAGGATTTTTTATAGTTACTCAATTTTACGGCTAGTTTATATTGTTATATAGAAAAGTGAAGTATTTTGATATTTTTGTTCTGATTTTTTTGCTCCAGAGCAAAAGTCGAAAATGTTAGCTGTGCATAAAGGTTTCGCTTCCTTTTTTAACGGAGCACACAAAGCTGTTACAACGACAAGCCCGCCCTCCCCCCAACAACAGCAGTAGCAGCAGCACTACTACTTTTACCCGCCACCACCATCACAGCAGCAACAACGAGTTGCCAACAGCAATAACAATATCACCATTACGAATGGCAACAAAACACACACACAGACACAAAAACACAACAGTACTAGTATCAACGATAAAAGACAGCTTCCTTAAAAAAAATATCAAAACACGAGTGAATTTAATCAAATACATAACACGTTTTTAATAACTACACGACTGGTGATATTTCAACTAACCTTGTGGTAGCTTTGTTGATTCGTATACAGGGATCCCATCAATGGAACACAGCGGTGCTTTAGGATGCAGTACGACCACGTCGCCATTGTATTCCACCACACAGTGTTCACTAAAGACGTAAATTAAAAAAAACAACATTTAGCTGGATTATAATACAATCTAACGAAACCAAAAACAATTATTCCTACGCGGAAATCTCCCAGGATTCTACTGGCATGTCTTTTTCAAACAAAAAACCTTGATTCATAAAGACACACGAAAGAGTTTTAAAGTAACGGCGTAGGAAGAGATTATTTCAATAGATTGTGTTTGGACTTGGTGAGTTATCTTAAAACAATTTAGAAAAAGGCTTAAAACAATTTAGAAAAAGTCAATGCGGAGCTTTTGTATAAGTCAATAACCTTTTCCGTTTTACTAAAAAACTAAATATAAATGTAAACCAAGATGGCGGTAACGAAAAGATTAGATCAATGCATGTTAACAAAACATCGCAGAACAGGCAAGTATCTTTTTTACTATTCGTTGTTTTGTTTCGCTAAGGCTTTTCAAAAACATAGTTGGATATTTCTACACGACGTAAATGAAAACGAAGCTTACAGTAATGAATTAGAAAGGCATCACAATCGTTCTCAATTAGCCATTCCGAGGTTGACGAAAAGACTCAGTCGAATTGGCATTGCAGTGCATTGTGGGGCTGTTTTAGGTAACATATTTCAATCCAAGATGGCGTCTATTCCGTCCCGTTAAATAGCACCAAAATTCACTGCAATGCAAACTCGACACTTTCTTTTCCTCAACCTTGGAATGGCTAATAAAATGAGCAGGATCGTCAGCACGACAACATGGGCACTTTTTGTGGACGTCAACCATGACATTGTCGAGGGAGACGAGTTTGCAAGGGGCACGTGCATATGAGATGTCATGGAAAAGCCTTCAAGTCCACTAAAACCTACTTCGTCTCGACGGAAGTCGAATCCCAAAAAGAATAAAGATAAAGTGAAAAATAGAGCGTTTTCGAATTAACGGATTCTACCAACCCACTACCACTACCACGCACGATTAGAGTATTAGGATTAGAGGGAAGATACATAGAGAAGATACTAGACATATACCAATCTAAAAGGAAAACTAATAGTTTGAAAGTCCTAGTACGGATACGCCTAATACAATTCTTTGCAAGATCATATGAAAGTTATTTTCTAGCACTGTCAAAATCATAATAATTATCAGTAAGTTATTGCGATTTTGAGCCGCCAATATTAACGGCGTTGGGGGAAAAAATCTCGCTTTGGCTTTCGTCGCGAGTATCTGTACTCTACTGTTTTCCTCTCTCAGCAAAAAGCAACTTCTAAATTCAAAAAGTCTATCTACAAAAGGGCCAGAATAAAAATTACTCTTAGTTATAGTTATCCTACCAAATTGTGTAGTTTTTTTTTTCAGTTTATCGCGATTCTCCTATCGCGAAGTAATTCTGAGCCGACAATACGAGCTGTCCGGCCCGATTAAACGTATTGAACAATGAGAATCTCGATACAGATAATAAAGAAAAGAAAAGTAACAACTATTCCATTAGAAGACTGTGTAATAATGGAATAAAGATACGGCGAGAAGGAAGTTATATAGCCATACTGTCACTCCTAATGCTAATGGCAAAAACGTGTTCTAGTTAGTGATATCATTTACATCCTTGTTGTGCATCTAAAAACCGCTTTGTGCAAGACATGGAATCTCTTATTTCGATCATTTAAAACTCCCACTGTTAAATAGAAAGTTTAGTGTATGGTCATGTAAAGCCTGATAGCAATCAAGTTATTGAATCAAATGGTATACTCGGCTCCCAGCAAGGGCAGGAAAACAATCCTTGTCATGTGCTATCAAACAGAAAGTATATTAATAATAACGTCCTTTTTTCACGAGGGTAGCACTTAATAGCTAGTGGCTAACAAACCTGTGGCCCTCATTCCGTGATTGAATTGGAATTTAGGAGTAGATTTTTGTGGAGGGAGGAAAACCAGAGAATCCGGAAAACCCTCGAAGCACAGGAGAGAACCAACAATCAACTCTACTCATACACAACACCAAACCCGGCGGGACTCGAACTCGGGTCGCATTGATGAGAGGCGAGCGCTCACACCACTACGCCATCCGTGCTTCCTATATTCTGGGCTTCAATCGGTTTTTAGACTTGAATCTCATTTTCTGAATCTCATTTTCTGCTTCAAATGGTAGTTAAACACTGATATGACCACCATTTGCTGTGAGCTAAAAAACTTCCCATTCACCTGATGCACATTTCACACGTGATTGGAAATGACGTCACGTGAAATCAAGCAATTTTATTGGTTGGTATCAATCAGCTGAATTTATCTAATGAATCCCAACATCAGTCTACATCTAAAGAAGGACACTGGCTTTCCGCCAAACTTAATAATCCTGCGTTTGTGTTTAAAGCTTTCTATTCAGTTAGTAAAAAAAAAATTAATACAACCAGCATGAAATAACGTCATTTGACCGCAAGCACTATATAACACCATGGGACAGACTGAAAACGAAGGCTTAATACAATTGATACGAAAACACCAGCACATCACTGTCACTAACAGCTTGAAATTTCACGCACTTTTGAAAAGATGTTTTAAGAGCAACATTTGGTTTCTGTCCCAACCACTTGCTGTGAGATGGTCATTCAGATACCCACCTTTCGATTCCTTTGCCTCGCAATTCGATGTCGGGTTTTGATTGGTCCGTTGATACACCAATCACCGTTTTACCTGTAAGACATTCAAAAGGTTTACTTGTCAATCGCGTTGAAGGTGCCGCACATTTAGAAAATATAATTTGAACTTGTCTGAGCTGTATTTATTTACGTAGAGAGAGGAAAAGGGCACAAAGAAAAGTCATTGTATAATGTAGATACAACAGATGGGTTGAATCTAGCAGAGCAGAGCAGAGCAATAGTTACCTCGTTTGATCGGGCATATTGTTACTCCAATGCTGAGCCGTCCACCACCTAAACTGACAAAGTGAGGATCTTCGGTTTCGAACTTCAGAGCCGAGCCCAACTCCGTTACCTCCAGAGCGCGCTCCTGGAATACAGAACCAGGCAGGATGATTAGAACACTACTTCCTTTGAATCTTATCAGGTTATATATGATAAGGAAGCAGCAAAAATAACTGCCATGGAAGATGGATGAAAAAAAAGAGACAGAGAAAAATAGAATGGTGAATGAATAAGGGTGGGAAGAACAATAAAAGGACACTGATCGAAAAAGGGAAGATAAACAACCAATTAAAATTATCACAAGGAAATGAGTTATATAAGACGAAGACCAAAATTAATTGATGAATGAACGAATGAGTGAAGGAACGACTGAACGATAGAAGTACGATGGTTCTCAGTAAGTGGTGAGTAATATAAACGAAGAAGAAAAAAAAGAAAGAAAATAACGAGAAAAAGAAAAAAAGATAGATAGATATAAAGAAAGAAGAAAGAATGAAATAAAGAATGAAAGAAAAAGATATGAAAAAATTAGACACTAATGAAAGGCATGATCAAATGTCAAAGGAGCAACGAAAAAAGCATAAAAAGTTCAAATGGGCCCTCAGGCTTCAAGAACTTGTTAATTATCCGTGTATAGGGAAGTGTTATGACCATTATTTCCCTTAGATATTCGACATCAAAACTGACTGACTTAATCTCTACAAAAGAAGAACGGAAAATCGTTTTAGACAAATAAGTCCGAAAAAAAAAAAAAAACAAAAAAAAAAAAAACAAAAAAAAACAGTGCTAACGATGTGTCTTTAAGTTTTCTAGGTTTTCGTTGTGGATCAAGCTTAATGTAAAATCAGATTGCTTGAGGGCTTCTTTTCCTAAAGAATATTATTTGCCTTCGTGGTCGAAAAATACTTAATTTGATTAATACAAGGCGACGAAATGCATTAAAAGACGAAAAAAGACACGGAGTTATCAAGAGAGAAGAAGGAAGTACTGGACATTTGAAGAACACCGATATTACAAGACAGAATCCAAAACAAATCAAGGGAAATATAATTTACAAACATGACAGGAAACGTTGATATTAGCAAATGAATAAAGACATGTTATTATTGAATTAGCCTTTGAGCGTGTGAGTTTGGGAGTCAAAATGTAGTCGGAATGTTTTTCCTTTGGCTTCCCTTCGTTCTTTCCCATCAAAGTTAGTATTTTTCGAAGCTATTGTTCAATAATAAACAAATAAATATTATTAGAATTATTAGGTATATATAGGAAGAGTACAAACTACGATACAAAATATAGTATCAAAGCTGTTTTTCTCTCTTCAAAAGAACTGGTCTTATGCTGTTTTTTTGTATTGAATCCGATTGAAGCGATAAGCTTTTTCATCACTAAAATACCGTCAAAAATTAATTGGAAAATAAACTACAAGAATTCTAAAAGGACAATCGTCAAGGGCTTCATTTTCCTTCAACATAGTTCTTAAGCCTTGTTTAGCTCACTCGAGTGCAAGTATAGTCACCTGTGCATTGACGGTCTTGAAGTGAAGACGTGTGCTTCGCTTTTTGACGTCCGAATCGTCGCTAGACTGTTTACCCGAGAGTAAATTTCGGACAAAACAAGTGATAGAGTTGGTCGCCATAACACGGAGAGAGAATCATCGTCTCGCTCTTTCCATCATCGTAGTCGGGTTCTTTTCAAAACGAGGTTGATGTCAAATAGGAAGAGAAATTAAAAACGATCATAGATCCGGCTCATTAAGTTAGACTCCTCAATCATATCCATGATAATTTATTCAGATTGAGAGCGGCGAGAGTCATTCAATCATTGTCCAGATGTTGAACGAAAAACCGGATGAAACGCTCCTGTGAACGCGGTGGAGATTGCAGCAGTAGATTACTTGTAGTACCGTTATTGGAGAGATTCTCTCTTCCTTTTTCAAACAGATACGAAACTACTTTCTACAATATTGAAATACAAACAGCCCTTACTGACAATAAGGGGGGAAAAGTCTTTTTTTCGTGTTAGTGGTGATGTCGGTATCTTTGTCAATTTTGGACAACTTCAGGACGATCGAGTTAAAAAATTGAGACGAACTCTTCAAATTATTAGATGCGAAAACATCGTTTTCAAAAAAAAACTTTTAAAAGTTGATTATAAAAATAGTGGCTTATTTTTCAAAATGTTAAAAAGGACAAAAAAAAGACTAAATAAATAACAAAGAAAACAGAAAATAAAATAAAATAAAAGTAAAGTAAAAGAGAAATGAAAAGGAAAGGAAACTGCCAATTTCGTACCCAGAGCCTTAAATTATTTCTTACTGCGCAATAAGAGATAAAGGATCTAGGTACGAAATTGGAATATTGAACAACGTGTGCGCATGCGCCAATATGTCCAAGAAAACAAACATGGCTGCTTGAAAAATTCTAAACAAACACGAAAATTGGTCGAGGTTTTGAGGGGAAAACATTAATAGTACCAACATTAAAAAAGTAGATAGATTAGATAGATTAAAATGGGAATTTTTCTCAACTTTTAAGAAATGAACTTATAGCTCTGCACACCTTTGTAGTTGATTTTAAGATCTTTTCAAAACCATAGATTTTTTTAATTCATAGATTTTTCTTAGATTTGTTGTGTAACGCATAGTGATGTAGTACGCCACATGACGTGTGACGTAATTTATAATAAAAGAAGTCCAGATATTGCAAACGGTTCAACTTCAAAGGCGGAATCCGTTTTGTTTGAATAAATGCCATAAAGAAAGAAAAAATAAATGGCAAGAATGAAAGAAAGATAAGAAAGATATAAAAGAAATCAATGGGACAATGATCCTAAAAGTAAAGGAACATTCTAGCAATCTTACAATGAGTGGCAGGAAGTCTAACAGAAAATAGTGACATTCACACACCTTCAAAGTGCAAACGTTAAATCACTCTAAAATCTAAACACAGAACTGCTATGTTTACAAACGGTTTTGCTGGAGCCAAATCTATTGACTTTTCCTTTCAAAATATTGAGAAATCTAATCAAAAACAAAACCACTGATTTTGGTATCATTGTCTCTTCTGTCACAACTACTTAGCATAGGATGTATATTACTCTACAGTAGCGGAAGAACCGGTGTCGTGAACGCTAAAGTCAACAGCGGTACCATCTCTTGCATACATCCAAAGCATACACGGCTTTGAAGAGAACATGTCAGATCCAGTCAATACGACAACAAGGTTTTTCACTAATCATGTCAAATGACAATTATCTTTGCGCTTTAGAATCAGAAAAGTACATTCTAAAATTCACCGTCTTTCACACACAATAACATATTTACTATTTCTTGTTCTCGTTTCCTATACAAATTTGTCCAAATTCACATGCTTTGAGAATAAATGTCTTATGTCCAGATAAGTGCCTTATATCTAGTTTTAGCTTTTCCAGTTTTTCAGTACTGAAAGATTCATTTTCCGATAATGACCCATATTTTTAGAAGCAATGCTTTCGCTGGCGTCGAACAGCTTTGGGAAATTTATGAAAAAGTGGGGAAAAATACTCGAGTATCTTTGATATTTGACAAAGTGCGAAAGAAATTAGACTAAACGTTGACTGGGCATGACAGATAAAAATGGGTAAGCTAAGTTAGGATTAAAAGAACGATTTCAAGTGCTACGAGCGATCCATGGATTGTCCCATGCGACGCCATAATGTCTTGTACACGACTTGTACAATGTTCTCCCTTGTACCCAATTCATTTATCTCATTTAAACATGTGTCAAAGCGGAGACACAGAAAGCGAACACTGGTCCAATGATAGCAGCCTAATAACTGTTTATTAGTGCACTGATTTTATTACCAAAAAAACTGATTTAGAATAATTTTTCGTTAATCAAGAAAATTACTTCTTAATCAAAAAAACATCGAACAAACGATGAATAATATGTAGTTAGCAAGGATGATCGGAAATGGCGAAAATTGAAAAAAATTCTTACGGTGTTCGGCTTAAGTACTCTGCTGAGTCAAGCGAAAATGTGTGTTGACGCATTATGGTCTTGAAAATTCTTTTTACGAACGAGAATAGCAAACGAAAGCTGTCCAGACAAGGAAGAAAAGTAGCTTGTTCTTAAGTGATGTACATCATTGAGTAAAACGAAACTGCTTCCACGTTAAAAATAAATAAATAAAAAACAAAAACACAAAAATATAAAAAAATAAAAAAAATAAAACAAGAAAAACAAGAAAACTTAAAAACAAAACAAATGACACACAAAAACTATCGAAAAACAAAACAGAACAAGAAAACACTCCGAATGTCATATCGTGATGGGATTTGCAATTTTAAAAGCCTAGCATTTAACATGCACCCTTTGACGTTGATTGGTCTATAAACCTTGTTGTAAAAATAAGTCGTACAGTGGAAACTGAGTGGAAACTGAAGTGAACGGAAACAAGATGAAGTGAAACACAACAAAAGAGTAAAGAAATTATGAAAGAGGTGAAACGATTCAAAATAGAATTGAATACATGGAGAATGAATGAATGAACGAATGAATAATGAATGAACGAAAGAACGAACGAACTTATAAAGAATGAAAGAATGAAGAAAGTAAGGAATGACGGAAAAGGAGAACGAGAAGAAGGAGAACAACAAACCAACAGATGGAAGGAAATTTTCAAATTACTAAAACGAGAGAAAAAAAAAAAAAAAAAAAAAATTTAAAAAAAAAAAAAAAAAAAAAAAAAAAAAAAAAAAAAAAAAGCCAAAGGGTCTAGAAGCACGTTGCTAGGTTATCTATGTTGCAACTGATAATGACGACCAAAACAATAATAGAAATTATCATTTCAATAAACGGCAACTAAAGGGCTTCTGGTCCTTCTTTTCCTTCTCGCTGAGAATTGTTAGAGTCGTTTTATTACTGCAACTTTCATAAACATGCGAACTTTGGGTCTCCGAGTGGCACGCTGAAATTTGGTTTTTCGCTGCCGAAAGTCAAAAATGTGAAGGTACAGACTGATCAGGTTTGATTGACGGCAAATTTCAGCGTTCAACGCGGAGACACAAAGTTCGCATGTTTATGAAAGTTGCAGTAACCACTTCTACACTTTAATAAACGATAAATAATCTAGAACAGTTCCTAAAATAGTACAAGATTAGAACAATCAATTTGTAGATGTAGAATAGTTTGAATAGGAGTAGACTTACGAGCGAGAAAAGAAGAAGAAGAAAAAAAAGTGGATCAGTTAAAGCAATAAGGATATATATATTTATAAACAGAAGTGGGACAAGCTTTTATCATCGTGATCTAGAAAACACAATAACTAGGGAAACCAAATGACAGAATCAGTGATGAAAGTTTGAAAATGTTTTGAGAACATAAGATTAATGTAGCTTCTAGAAGCATCTTCACTTGTAGCCACGAATCGATGAATTAAAAATCACGCATTTTAATTCTATACTAAACCGTAGAAACTCATAACAGCTTTTAATATACAAGCATCTATTCCGATAAAAATTCGGCAAAGGATAATGTTTCAGAGCTTATTTTTGATTATTAACTTTATGTATTTGGTTGAGGAAGTTGTAGAAGAAGTATATAATAAAAGGTAGGTAGATTATGGGTCGAGTTGGCGTTATTTCCAAATTCAATTTTGTTTAGTTTTTCTGTTTACTCACCTCAATCATTTTCTGTGTTTTACTCCATTTGTCTTCCCAGATTCCCGTCAATCTTTTCATGAGTTCCTGGTTTTCCTGCAGTTGTTTTTCTGCCTTTTGTTTCTCCATGCTGTTGGACCCTTTTCCCTCCTGTTAGGAATGAAAAACACTAGGAATTATACGTCAGAAGTCATACACAATGACGACGGTCGTTGTTTAATACGACCAGAACGACCAAACCACGCTGACAACCGACCGTTATAAATAAACATCCAATACTCGTAAAATTGTGGGTCAATTTTGCAGCGTTGTAGGATATCGTATCAAGAGAATCGAAAACCGCAGGCAGTCAGTTAAAAACAAACAACCAAAAAAGGCACTTCCCTTAATTAAAATATTACTCGAAAAAGGAAAATTAGCGAGAAGAAAAAAACCCGCCTCTAAAAATAATGCAAAGATAAGAAAAAATATGAAAACTATAATCGAAAAACGAGAAGAAAAAAAAAACGCGTACCATTAGAGATCTTATTGTAAATAAGTAATCTTGAGAGAAAAACTTGCTTAAAGATAAAATGTATTAATACAGAGATTAGAATGATTTTGGAAAAGTTTACGATAAAAAATAACCTTACTTGGGTTTGGTGATGCGAAAAATGCTGACAAACTCGAACGAATCTCATTTTGGGGTCTTTAGGCCAGTGTTTTCGCTTGTGCCAGTGCTTGTTCGATTTTCATTTCATCTAAGGCTGTACGACACTAATGGAAATCCTCTAATTCAGGAATAGATTTGCTTAATCTTGAGTTGCGCAGATATTGACATTCGATAACACGATAAGGAATGTTAGTGAGACGTTTTATTTTGAATGACATGTAGAGAAGATTAGTTTTATTATGCCATTCAGGTTGTATACCACAAAGAATGCTTACAAAAGAAACCGTTCTTGTTATTGGGAAAAAATCTTCACCTCATAATAATATTTACATTATCTAACAAGAAGATAGCCCAGTTTCGTTCAATGATGATTAAGAGATCATCATCGAAGGGGTAAGAAAAATTCCTCTCGTACTTTAGGACCTATTTTTATCAGGAACTAAAAAGATAACGTTAATCTCGTACTTTCCTCTTATTCTGTTTCCGATGCAATTCCTCAATTATACATTTTACATTTTTAAGCAATTCATTCCAATGAAATATAATCTAAATTTCTTTCAAAACAAGGACTGTAGAAGCGGTACTGACAATGAAATGAAAGATGCGAAAAGAGTAAACGAGTTTGTTAATTAAAGTAGTCGAATTTTACCTGGTTTTAGAAGAGGTATATTTCTCCAGTAGTATTTCTAAAAATACTTGCAAGAAATATGAGCTAGTATAAATAAGCGTATTTGGGAGGATAAATTCATGATTCCCAAGGGCTATATCATTCTATGGCAGTTTGTATTCCCAATGAATTCGTTCGTACGGCATACAACAGCTGTCAGTGTGCGAAACATTAGCTTTTCCAGGCAGATGGCTCGGCCACTTACGTAGCACATTATTCGAGCTACCGTAAGCTATAAAACGAAATAGGCCATTAAGAAGGTACATAAAAAATGCCATGACAACGGAGCTCTTACGTCATAAACGACGACTTAGGAGCTCACTTGCAAAACGATGTTTTGAAACACTCTTTTGCGTAACAGTTGGTAAAACTACTGAACAAAGATGGTTCGATCACACGTTATTATACGAGATACCGTAGGCTGTAGAAATAGCTAAGGAATAGGTACATGATAAATGTCATGGCAACCGAGCTTTTACGTCATAAAGGTAGTCTCCTCAAAATTATCTTGGATGTGAGGCTAACATGAAAATACAAAAGAAACGCCACAAATTCCATCGAGTCTGATTTCTTTTGTGTTTCCATGTTAGCCCTGCATCCAAGATAATTTTGAGAAGAAAGGAAGAAAGTTTTGAAAATAAATGGAAAATAGTCATGATTCTTTACACGTCGCAGGAAATAAATTATGGGATGAAATCCACGACTGCATGTTATGATATGAGATAAAAAGCGAGAAAAAGGAAGATGAATACCACCGGGGGAGGAGATTGGACAAAAAGCGGTTTCCGAAGCTCCGAACGAAGTTACGCAATAAATCCAACAAGACATGTATTTGAAGTTAATATATACTAATTAACTTCGTGCTAATTAATATGAATTGCTGGTTATAAAATATAAGCTTTTCGAGGTAAGAAAATTTAAAAAAATAGTCGCCAATAGATTCTAATGGGACAAGAAATAACAAGCTGTCTTCAATATACGTGACCGTCACAAGTACATGCTTAATTGCAAATCTTAATACATCTATCTCATTATCGCCTATTTCCCAAACAAAAACGTTTCAAATCTTAATCTTGGTGGCGGAAATAACTGTAATCAAATACGGAGGTTGAATTTTTTCTTTGATATAGACGGGTTTTTTTGGTCGTTTAAACAATCAGTCGGCATTCAATACATTTACTATCTCGTGTAAATATCATAGCATTAGTTTACCCAGTCAGGTAAGGATTCGCTGAAGAATAGACTTAAGGACAGAATTAGTTTTGCAGACAACTTAAATAGATTTCGTTAAAAAATATCATAAAAGAACTGAAATTAAAATCAAAAATTACTTAAAAACTTGGAACACGAAATTCGTGTCCCGAGAACAATAAGTAATATCGACTAACAACACATTTATGGACAACAGAATTCTTTCTTTTTAACTAGGATATCCCTTAATCGTTCAGGAATTAAAATCAATAATAGTCGATCCTGGAATGTTAATAGATTGGATAACAAGGTTGTTTATTTGTAAACGCGGCACACGAAATAAATTTTTTGGATAGTTTTAGAATTTTTAGTGTTATAATTTTTCGTAACGAATTTTATCAAAAAAAAATAAAAAAATAAATAAAAACTTGGTGATTTTCTTACCTCAAGCATACTCTTCAGATTTTGAATTTGGATTTTTAGTTCTTTGATAAGCTTAACGTGACCATCCTGAAAGGTTGTAGAATAAATAAGCGATAGTTAGTACTATACAATATTAAGAGTATTAAGAGAACGCGCGGGTGATCAAGTGAGATGCACGGAATCTCGCTATTTATTGCACATTAGTGAAGGAACTGAACTTGTTTACTGCACGAATATACTACACAAATAGCAAAGAATATTTAATATTGTAGAAAGTATGGAGAATTGTGATGGCTAAACGACAACAACAACAACAACAACAAATAACTGACAGCATTAGGGATAGAATAAAAACACTTGTAATTTGACAGGACTTGATTTAGAAGGGTGGGGTGGGAAAACTCGGTACCTGCCACCTCTTGAAGTGAAATCCCGGATTTTCTACTCAAATATCACCAAAACCATAAGCTAAATGGCAATAATGAATGACTACTGCCGTTTCAAGGTATGTTGCACAACGTAATTAATGAAACAGCCATAAAGACATTTCGCGTCGAGGATTTCAAGAAACCCATGGGGGAGGGTGTACATCAAGTACCTTACCAAGATAATCAGGTCTCTACCGGTGAACACCGGGTTTTGACCTCGCGAATTATTCTAAGATATATTCGAGATTTGAAACAGGGGGGGAAATGTTGTTTAGCTTAGCTAAAACTTAGAAATAAATCAGTGAATTGTAACTTCCGAGATTATTTGCCTTATTTCTTTATAGCCATAGCCATAGCCATAGCCATAGCCATAGCCATAGCCATAACCATACCATCCCCACCCCGCCTGCATCCGCCTAACGAAACTTCCTCATATACCGAATCCTAATATAAGCTTGTTGGAAATTCTTTTTTCTAAGAGCCATAATGCTGATACTAGTAGGAAACATATCGCTTACTAATAACAGCCATGGAATTTTTGTGTACTTTAAACATTTGGAATAATAATATAGAATTCATCATAATTCCTCTTTTACTCCGACGAAGGACTAGCGTCCGAAACGCCAGTAAGTTTTTTCATCTTTTCACGGTGTATAATTTACCTTTTTATCATTACTGTTTCATTAGAAACACCGACGCAGCTTACACTAGTTATCTCTTCTTATATATATATATATATATATATATTAGGAATATAAAACGTCGCGCGTGTCTATATACTGTGATATAAACACGATGGGAGCTGTAGAGCAAGAGAGAAGTTGTAGAGAAACACGAGGCGTAGCAGAGTGTTCCTTTGACTTCTCGAGTGCTCTACAGCTCCCAGAGTGTTTATATCACAGTATATAGACACAAGCGGACGTTTTATATCGCTTTTATATTATATTTTTGAATGATTTCGCTCGAGCGTGTCTCTATCCTCTGATATAAACACTGTAGCCTGCCAATCAGCGCGCGCGTTATATCTCAAATATTTTATAAATATATACATATATATATATAGTGAATTCCATTCTGTGATAGGAATCTGGAGTCTCATTTTTAACTCGAAGACTGAAAAACCTTAGTCATATGGAATTTTTTTCCCTTCTTCAAAGCAAGTTTAGCCGATACAAGACTTTACCAAGACATTGGCATAGAATAAGACAGCTTGCTTCCGAAGAAATTTGTCAAAATAGAAAAAAAATGGGGAGGACATGTTCAGGAGAGTCTTAAAGACAACAACAGGTGAAAATATAATTGAATCAAGACAAAATTAGAAACACTTTCTGATGCAAAACAAGGTGAAGTGGAAAGCAGTTGGAAACCACTTGCTTTAAAAATGACAAAAATAGAAGTGTCTCTAGATTATTTGTGGAAACATTTAGATGGATTAGTAGGTCACGTATGTTTCTCACTCTTGTAATAATTGATTTTAGATTAAGAAAAAAATCTTAAAATCAAAGTATTTTTCAGTAAGTTTTGAACCGCAATAATAGTGTTATTTTCTTATCTGCATTAATTCAATCATCGTTATTAAGTTAATCGGAGTAAGTCATGATGTATTGTGTTGTTTTTTTTCTTTTCTATTTTCTCTTTTTATAGTATATGTTATTTTTTTCTGTATTTTGTGAATTATATAATTTAAAGTTTTTTTCAACTCAGGTTAAAAGCATAATTGTACAAAGTAAAATTCTACAAACTGTAATAAATTATCTAGAGAATAGAAAAAGAGTTATTTTCTTATCCTATCTCTGTTCTATTGATCA